AAAAAAGCAGGTAAATAAAGTGATGATCAAATTAAACTAAAATAAATTAATAAATAAATTACTAATTGATAAAAACACTAATCCAGAAACCCTGTTTGGCGCCAAACCGCATTCCGCACGCGCCTGAGATCCCTCCCCTTGAGCGTCCTCCCCACGCCCTCCAGCACCGAAAACGTCGTCGTTTGACTCCTCATCGACCCACGCGCCACGATCTCGTGCGGCGGCAGCACCTCCTCGTCGCCGCCGTCCTCATCCCCGGCGTCCGCCTCCCAGTCTCTCGCCTTCCTCGCCATCATCGGGATCCGTATAGGTGCCGACTGCGAGTACCTGCTCGCCTCCGACAACGGGTGGGGCTTCGGGATCGACGGGACGTCGCGAGCCGGCGGCGCCGGCGAGGACGGTAGCAACGGTTTCTGCACGGTGGCGTCCGGGATCCGGCCGTCCTCCGGAAGCGCGGCGAGGATGCCGAACTTTTCCGGCGGTGCGAAGGCGCGGCGGCAGCGGCGGACGACGGCGGGTGAACGTGGCGGCTCCGGCGCGTCGCTGGTGTAGAAGACGTCGATCTCGCTGAGCTCGTCCCCGGCGTCGGGTGGGTTCACCGGAGATACGGCGGAGGGAGGGGAAAACACGGTGAAGAGTCGTTCGGTGGACGGCGGGCGGCGGTGGCGGTAGCCGGAGAAATTGTTTTGATCCATTTTTATTTTATTTTCGATTTTTATTATTCGCTGTGTGGCATTTATTATTCGCTGCTGCTCGAATTTATTCATTTTTTCTTGCACCCGATGAGTGCTACATATAAAAAGGTTTTAAAAGGAATATAAAAGAAATTCAAATTGCGGGCCCCAACTGATGGGACAGGTGTTTCAATGGAGGCCGATCGTGCAAGATCCGACGGATGATATTGAGGTACATCATTGGGCGCGGCGCAGTGGATCGTGCACGTGTTTTGCGGCATTTGGAACTTGGAAAGTGGGAAAATAATAGTCTCCTTACGGAATCATTCTATCGGGATTTAGAACATTTAGATACGGAATCATTCTATCGGGATTTAGAACATTTAGATAAACTATTCTTGGTGGTGACATGATGATTCACCGGTTACAAATCCTGACGGAATTATTCTATAACGGGATTGTAGCATTTCAAAAAATAATACTCCCTCCTTTTTTTTAAAATGTCATTTTGATTTTATCAACTATTAATCAAATAAATGTCGTTTTGGATCTTTTGTACATATTTTTTCATTATTACCCTCATTTAGCTAATAAATACGTTACGTCTTTTCATATTCACTCTTTACATTTTGTCAAAACATTCATCTTTATCTTCATTAAATAAAGTTATTATTGACAACAAAATTATTCATAATCAATGTGCAACTTCTCAAAATGGCATATATTAAAAATAGAATACGGCATATATTAAAAATAGAATATAGTAATAATAATAATGTATAGTAGACTAATGGTATTAGTACCAATTTTTTTACTAAATTTTCAGTATTTAATTTTTTAAGTTGATTTTTATTTATGTTAATTATGATATTTTGAGAAATTTGTTCATTAGAGCTTGTATGGGCCATTAGTTACTTTTATTCATTTTCTTTTAAATCGCATCGATCAAGAAAGAGTAGTATTAATTGTATGGGAAATCTTTTTGAGATTTGATGAAAAAGCGTGACAATCTCATTGAAGATTTTGTATGTCAATATTTTCTTCTTTGAGGGCTTTGTGAGGGCATCTCCAATGGTAATAGCTATTACTAGCTATATAGTCAGCTGATATGGATGTGAGAGATAAGAAAAATAACTATTTTACACTATTGGACCCACATACTCCTCTCACATAATATTGGACTACGTGAAATAGATAAGCTATTTGTTAGTAGCTAGTAACTACTCTCTCTCTTACTTTTTCCCTGTCCACGTCATAATAGCTAGCCAAATAGCTAACCATTGGAGACACCCTGAGTTGTTTGTCATTGTGTTTATAATAAGTGAGATTATATTTTAAGCATAGTTTTTAAACTCGGCCCGGTAATCGACCCGGGCAAGTCTTTGGGTCACCGGGTCACCGGTTCAACCGCCGGGTCACCGGGTCAATTGCTGAACCGGATAATTATTTTTAAAATTTATAAAATTATATATAGAGTATTTTGTGATATATAAATATACATAAAAATAACACATTTAAATATTTTGTATGTAAAATTTGTAGATTAAAGTGGTAATAATTTGTATATATTTATCATATAAATATATATACTTAATTTTATTTTTTTTAAAAAAAAAAAAGAAAATTAAAAAACAAAAAAAAATAAAAAAATACATATAGACCGGGTCGACCGGGTTGACCCAGCCGGGTCAATGCCCCGGGTCGACCGGGTCAAGGCCGGGTCGACCGGTTTTTGACCGGGTCCATTGTTGCCCGGTCTAATTAACCCACCCGGACCGGTTCCAACTCCGGGTCGACCGGGTCCCGGGTCAACCCGTCGGGTCGGTCCGGGTCACAAAACACTGATTTTAAGTGAATTTTGAGATAGTTGTTAGCTTTTGACGTATAGTTGAAAAAATATATTATTTAATAAAATAGTTTCGTAAAATTAACTAAAATAAAAAAATTTAACGAACTTATTTGAAAAGTTACACGATAAAGCTTGTGAAATAAGTTCGAACTTTTTTTAAAAAAAAAATTGTCCTACCAAATCAACATAGTTTATTCAAATATAGAAAACTAATAAGTTAATCAAATAAACTGTAGGTTATCTTATATGCTTACTTGATACAACTTTATAAATTCCAATTCCACTATTACTAAAATATATACAAAATGTTAGGCAGCCTAAGATATTATGAGCGATTATCTGGTCATCGATAGAGAGTTTCTCCCT